CAGTATCGAACAAGGGCAAAGTCAATGACTGTTAATGACAGTGGGCTTCGAATAACAGAATGGCTATTTTGGCTTGTATTCTGGCATCAGAGAGTCAGGGTGAAGTTTTCAGGTCAGCATGAATGAGGCAATCCGCCGTTTGACATTTGCTGATACAACAAGTGTCCATGATGTCCAAATTCCTGAACGGTACCCCTAAAATGCGCCACGCGGAGGATGCACTGGATCAGCGAGGGGGCTAAACAGAGGCTGCGTATACACACGGGAGGGGAGGGGGAGGGCAGTGCCAGACCTAGGCACAGGCTACCGCTTCTTAAGCGCAGTAATCGTATAAAAATACTGGCACTTGACGGGGTGAGTCTGATCTCTCGGGATGGAAAGCCAGACTGCAATGGTTCCTTCTTACTGCAGCATTTATAGCGCTTGAGATCCGAACCGAATACGCGTTGTCTCATTGAAGATCTGGTCCATCGTGCGCGGACTAGGCGTGTAGGCGTGGCACGCGTAGACAGACGTCTCAGCCAGCGCGCGGAATCCCGCCTCCCAGCCTCCTGACTCTGTCTCGCCATTACAACCCAGGTAGGTAGGAGTTGAGAAAGAGAGCGACAGATAACGCGCAATTTTGCTATCACTTTAAGCCAATCATGCACATGTCACCGCTCTGCATCTGCTGTGTTGCGAGACACAGTAGGAATAATCGTTTGCGGCGGTGGAAGTGTCAGTTGACCAATACAACAGTGAAAAAACGAGATCACTTGACAGGATGTCGTCTATTAGAAGAGTTACGACGAAAGCGATCACTTCATAGTAAACTAACAAAGCATTATGAGAGGACTCGGTGTTCAGTGGTCGGGGCACGACATTCTAGCGTAAACCTCGAAGTCGTTATAAACGGTTGAGTCAGAAGGACAGCCTGGACTTTTAGTAAACGCCTAGGCTGGTAAAATGCTAAGGCGAACGATGGTGATTAATCAACAATCCTAGGAACCACTGACATTGATTTAAAAACTACTACTAGTAATTTGTCAGTAGCAAACAAAGAATTTCTATCAAATGTGCGTTTGCTTACGGCGTCGACAGGTGCCCCGGCGAGCCTGAGGTACCAGTGCCCGCTGAGTTGGTCGGCGAGGACCGGAGTATTCGTGAGACTGTAGAATGTATCATAGCGATAAAATTCGCCTAAAACGGGATAAAACAAAAAGTGTAGAAGGACAGCTTAGCTTCTAGGCAATATTAGACGAGACAGGAAGGTACGGTATTAAAAGTAGGAAATCGAAGCTGTCATGGCGAGCTTTGGTGCACTCTAAGTGGCCTTCTCATTTCCATATCACCGATAGAAGCAAAACGATGAGTTCCAGGAGGCAATTCTGATTCCAAAACATTTCCTTTTTTCAAGATGTCCAAATTATACCAAAATAGACATGAGGACTAACAAGAGATTCTAACTAATAGGTATATGTATGCTTGGCGGAATTCAATGAAAACTACAAACAAAGCACTAATTAGGACGACAAATAAGAGGAAATTAGAAGATAGAACAGACCACGTAGTTCTTAACACTTTGACTGCGACTGCCAAAATGGCCTGTATGCCCGTACGTGTATGCGTGTACCACATATGGCGCACGTCGCAGTCAAAGTGTTAATAGTATAAATATGGCCACTGCTTACTACAACTCGGCGCACATAAGGACAGTGAAATAGACACGTGGAAGTAAATGGTGAACCACATCGGTAAAAGGTAACACAACATACCACCCCAGAGTGCCTCGTGATAAGCTGCAGTTGCTCTGTTTAAAAGGCCCTTGAGGTTATCCTTAAGTTCGTCCCAATGATTTGCGTTCATGGCAGGATTTGGCGTCAGACGCGAAGCAGCCAGCATCATCTCGTGGACACCATAGAGGGCTGCAATCCACAGGCCGCCAACGTAGGCTCTGTGAGGATGTGGTAAAAGGAGATGCGGTAGACATTACTACTGAAAATCAAACAGTAGATGTGTTTGTGAAAAACAACTACAGCGCGTGCACAGGTGCGAGCGACAGGGAAGAAATCGGTCACAGCAAAAGAAAAGTACGGAAATGAAACAGTTACGACTTTGGTGATGAAGTAACAAAGATCTTGCCAGCACGCTAACATATTTAAACAACTAAAAGCAGCGAGGCAGTCTGGAAGTCAAAGGGTCCGGGAGGAGGTCTTGACAAATGTACGGTATGTCTTTCATGTGCAGGTAATGCGAAAGCAGGGTTACGAATTCCCAGACTCTCGGAGAATCTGATAGCTAAAGGTTCGATTGCCAAAGATTTCAGAAACCTCATAAAACTTTTCAGTGGGAGCCTGCTCGCGCGCTAATTGCATGACAGTTGACGTG